GCTGGGGAGGCTTTTTGGCTTGTTCTTAGGTGACTTCTCTGATTGACTTAACCCAAAATGTCAAAGGTCATTGAAAGACATTGAGTTTTAGGAGGCTTATTACCATTTTATTTTGTAAAATGGGGCATTAACTCATTGCATCAAGCCATTCTTTATGGTTTAGTAGGATAAATGTGCTGAGTGAGTGTGTTTTCCCTGTTCTAGGATAATACATTCTGTAAGATAATTTTCATGTGTTCTGTATACAACTATTTATGATTTTGTAAATAGATTTTTAATTGGTTTAGTTGTGTTAGCATACCTGTGCATGGAAGATCCTCCTGATACAGATAAAGCCTAAATCACTTGGATACTTGGGGCATCTTACCCAGAGGAGATGAGAATGAAAATTGTTGCAGCTGTTGTTGGTGTTTGGTTGGTTGGTTGGATTGTGTTTGTTGGTTAGAGAACATCACTCTAACCCAATGAAATACCTGAAAAATTAATAAAATGTTAGAGTATTCAGCATTGAGAGTGCCTTTGCTACTCAGTTGTTGCAGAGCTAATTAGCAGTAGTCTTTCAGCTGCATTTAATGACAGGTATTATTGATAGATGATACTTGCTGCTTTTATTTGTAGATGTGTCTGTCTTTCTGATCACAAACATGCAGTCAGATTAAAATCCAGGTGCAAAGTGAATGGTGACAACATTACAAAATGCTCCATACAGGAGCATACAGGGGAGCAGTTAGCCCCCATTAGACCTTATTGGGGGTCTGACAGTACAGAAAGAAAAGTTTTGCTTTCCTTTGGGGAGGTTAAAACTTGCTTTTATAGTAGCTATGTAAGGGGTAGTCAAAACAAGATGGTTTTAAGTTTACAGTTGTGACATCTAATCATAGAATCACAGAATGGTTTGGGTTGGAAGGGACCTTAAATCTCATCTAGTGCTAAGCCCCTGTCACAGGCAGGGACACTTTCCACTAGAGCAGGTTGCTCCAAGCCCTGTCCAACCTGGCCTTGAACACTGCCAGGGATGGGGCAGCCACAGCTTCTCTGGGCACCCTGTGCCAGCACCTCAGCACCCTCA